GGGGTTGGAATATTTATTGATGATTAATATATCTTTTCAGTCCTTTATTCTCTCTAATACTTTTAATATCAATTCAAATTAATAATTAACAGGTTACGAAAATATTACCAAGATTAGAGTAGAGTAATTTTAAAATCATTCAATGTTTAAACTTTGTTATCATTTAAGATCATTTCTAAGATTAAGGTTATTTTTTAATTTTTGAAATGTATCTTTCTTCTTATCTTTGTTATTAATTGTAACTATTAATAATCATTATTAGGACTAAACTTGTTGATAAAAAGAAATAAATTAGGCTAACTGTACTCTGTTTATATTATCAATTTAATAGTTGTTTCTGACATCTCAATATTAAGCAAATATTTACAAAAAATACATATTATTCAAGAAAGTTTAAGAAAATGATTAGAATGATAATTGTAATGTTTTTAATGAATATTCAAATTCACTCTTGCTTTTGTTTTAAGTCTTCTAAAAAGCAACTTCCTTTGGATTTAAACAATGGTTTTAAATCTATCCCTTAATAATTCATGAATTGTCCTTATAGGATAAGTGTTCCTGATGCTTCTAACAAAGGATTCTAGCATATTACAAGTATTGTACAATAAGGATTAACTAAAGAATAATTAATAATAAATACCATTTGGCAATAAGAAGCTATTTTGAAGAGGTATGTTAAACTAGGAAAGCAAATCTTTAAAGTAACTATCTGATTGAAGTATTTCCTTTGATGTTTTTACATTCCAAAGACGGAATGAGTTATCATCACTACCAGAAGCTAATGTATTTCCATCAGGAGAGTAACAAATTGAATTAACTGTGTTAGAATGACCATCTAATTTGGCTTTTTATTATCCTGTCTTAACATCCCATAAACGGATAGAGTTATCCAAACTACCAGATACTAATGTAATACCATCAGGAGAGTAACAAATTGAATTAACTGATGATAAATGACAATCTAATTTGGCTTTTTATTATCCTGTCTTAACATCCCATAAACGGATAGAGTTATCCAAACTACCAGATACTAATGTAATACCATCAGGAGAGTAACAAATTGAATAAAC